GAATTGCAATGTGGTGGGTTGGTTCCCCCTCCCCTGTTACACTTTGCAAGGCAACCCCTTCCCCCCCACAACAGCAACACCCCCCCAGGGGAGAATGAAAAGCTGGGCGCAGACTTTCCGGGAGTTGCAAGCCCAGGAGGGAGCTAAACTAAATGACCTGGCCCTTTCCACCTGGTCCCGTCCAGCCCGACTTTCCTGTGATCACAGGTTTGGAAGACAAGGTTCTTTGGGTAAATCCAAATTTGGGGGAGTGAGTCCAAATTCTTTGACAAGTCACCGGTTTGGCAGGGAGCTCCCCACAGCACTGGTTAACTAGTCACCTCTTCCCCCGGTTAACTAGTCTCCTCTCCCCCAGTCTCCTCTCCCCCGCAGCCCTTTCTGCTTCCCAGCTCCCTCCTTTGCATAAGGACCTGTCCCCCAAAAGTACTTGTGTACAGTTGCAAAAGCCTTGTTTGGAGGCCCTGTTGAATGCATTTGCAACAATATGGGGAGGAAATGCCTTGGGTTCTCCTGGAAGCGGTGGTAGGCGGCTAGGAGTGAGCATGATAAGTGAATGAAGTTTTGACCCAGCAGCACATCCGAGGCTGAGTGGCAGCTGACCTCTGACAAGGGATTGGGCCTGTGGCAGATGCCAAGCTGATGTCCCTGTCCCCGTCCCCACCCTGTGCAAACCCCTCTGGCATGAGTGGAGTTTGCCTGTCAGTGATGCAGAGTTTGGGCTCAATGATGTGAAAGGATCATTCAGGTGAAATAAGGCAAACCCAGGCGTGCCAATGAAAGAACGGGGTATTAAGCAAATGACTAAAGCTAACTCATCTTTCCAAATGCTCTGGGAAGCGTATAAGGACAGATTCAACTCGTACTCAAGGCAACAGAGAGATTTCCATTCCCTACAATGGAAATTGAAGTGAACCCTTATTTCCTTTAGGGCTTGGCACACTAACCCTGTCTAAGCAGCCGGCTGTTAAAAGAACACTAATGCAAGGGATATTTTTTATGTGCATGGCAACTGTGTTGGGTATTGTTCAGCAGACACATATCTAAGTAGATTTTTCCTCCTGCCTTAACTAAGAACAGGCTGCCTTTCATTGCATCTAAAGGAGAAGCATTCTTTATTTTAGGACTTGGGTAACATTTTCAAACATCTACATCCAATAAAAGGAGCCTAAGTCCTATTTTCAAGAGTGATTTTGACATTTGGGTCTAGATTTTCAAAGCTACAGAAATGCATAAAATGCAGATTTTCTAAAGCACCTTGGTAAATCAGGTGCCTAAGTTCCCTTGTCAATAGGATTAGGCTCAGATTTTTTACATAATTGAAAGTCAATGGGCTTGCACTCCTAACTTAGTTTTCAAAATGAGACTTAGCTGAATAATTCACTTAGGCCTTGCCACGCTAAGCAGAGAAAGTCCTGCATATCTTTAAAAAAATTGGGCCTTTGTGCTTCTGTGGCAGGTGCTTCTGTGGTGAGTTGAGCTTGTTGAGTTTTCAGCTTGTGTGGCGAGTTGCTTTTGAAAGTACGTTTTAGGCTTTTATGTCATTTCAGAGCTTCTGAAAATATTACCTGTAAATGTATGTCTATTCTTTAGAGGTGAGACCTGATGGTGTATTTTTCCTCCCCTATAAATGAATCATAGAAAATTAGGGTGGGAAGGGACCTGAGGAGGTCATCTAGTCCAAACCATGCTCAAAGCAAGACCAACCCCAACTAGATCATTCCCTCCAGGCTTTGCTGAGCCGGGCCTTAAAAACCTCCAAGGATGGTGATTCTACCATCTCTCTAGGTAACCTGTTCCAGTGCTTCACCACTCCTAGTGAGAAAGTTTTTTTCCTAATATACAATCTAAACCTCCCTGCTGCAACTTGAGACCATTACTTCCTTGTTCTGTCATCTGTCACCACTGAGAACAGCCTAGCTCCATCCTGTTTGGAACTACCCTTTCTGTAGATAAAGGCTGTTATTAAATCCCTTCTCAGTCTTCTCTTTTGCAGACTAAATAAGCCCAGTTCCCTCAGCCTGTCCTCAGAGGTCATGTGCCCTAGCCCCCTCACCACTGTTATTGCCTTCAATTACCAAGGCTTAAACTAACAACCATTCTGTACTCAACTCACCATGCAAGCACCTAAGCCACAGAAGAATACTACAGAAGAATAAATGAGTTATCTTTCACACACATATGGAGGTGCTACACTTACAAATTTGTATATACTGAAAGATATTATAAAATACTACTCTGAATTTGAAATCTAATTGAGGATTTACTTGTTTGGGGTTTTTTTTTTAATGTATTAAAATTAGATCCAAATACTTCACCTGTGTGTAGGTCTTCCTGCAAATGTTTGTGGTTTAAAAAGCAAATGTTTCTATTTTTCTCTCCCTAGTATGAAAGGCTTACACAAGATAGAAGCAACTGAATACAGAGCAGGACATGGTAAAACTGATTATAGGCAACAGTTGTGTCTAAAGAAGGTTTTTTTCTGTAGTATTTCCTACTAGTTCTGGACTTCATGCTCAGACATACTGTGTTGTGCAGCCACTGACCCTCAAGAAACTTCTCTGTCCAAGGAACTTCTAGACTGAGAATCCTCAGATACTCAGTAGCCTGGAGCCAATATATTTTAAAAGTCTTTGAAATTAAATCTGTGATTGACAGCTCTGTTCCATAGACACAAGGGAACTCCCTACTTTAAGGGGAGAGCTCCTTTGTGCAGGAGATGAAGCTGTCTCAGGGGTTGGGCACAAACTACAGAACTACCTGCCTCAAGGCTGAAGGGTCACCCCAGACCTCATCCCCTTCTGCTCCAAGAACAAGGAATACATCTTCAGCCTACCTTCTCCAACAGAAACACAGAGCAATGAACCCCTTTAAAAAGAACAACCCTCACATGACTGAAATCAGATCCTATGGTCATACGGGCAGTATAAAAACCACTAGAGACTACGCTGGAAAGCTCTTCTTGTGGCAGTCGTTGATGAAGCTCTAGTGTAGACCAGGCTCCAAAACTTTTGCTGGCACTTTGCATGATCTGCTACCTGAACTGCATAGGACACATCTCTACTGCATATTGCTTAAAAGACTGGCATCTGTCAATGCCTTGTCTAAACTAGTGTTCCCACTGCTATTAAGGGGAAGATGGACACAGTAGCAAAAGCAGGTACTGTAATTTTAGGAGCAAGATCCTAGTATATACTAGGGCCAACATTCTACTGAGCACACAAAGTGAACAGAGTAAAACCAGTGTTTTTCTCTAATCTCTGTTATGATTTATAATAATTCTAGCTGCTACCTATAACCATACAGTTAAATAATAAAACAATAACACAATTCTGGACAAAAATGTCATGCTAAATAGATACTATCAACCCAAAGCTCCTGAGCCGACTGAAGTCAATGGCAAGACCCTGAAATTGCTTACCCTGCTAATGCAAGGAAGTAGAGGGTTTATTATTATTTTGAGATGTCAATATTAAAATAATTAGGATTTCTATGGGATTTATATTTTATTTTATTTTGCATTTCCCCTGTTCATATCTGTTCATTTTTGTTTTTTCAGAAAGTTGAATTTAGAGGGAAAAGGTAACATCTTCAAGAAAAAGTGATTTTTTTCCTCCCCTTTTGACATAACCAGAATTATTAGAACATCTGACAAGGTTCTTTGGGTAAATCTGATATCTTTTATTAGACCAACTTACATAGTTGGAAAACAATTATTAAGCAAGCTTTCGGGTTCAAAAACCCTTCGTCAGGCTAAGGAAGTTTCAGCAGTTGGTGTGTGCTCTTCCTGGATGGAATGGAAAGTAAAGAAGCCAGCGGCTGGGCTGGTATGCATACAAGACAGGTAGTCAGTGAAAATGTAGATTGAGGAGTCAATGGGTGAGAGACAGACTGGGGAGGGGGGAAGAGAGAGAAGGGGGATGAATAGTGGAGAGATACCTGGGGAGTCAGATGTCAGGCAGGTTATAATGTGTCATAAATCCAATGTCTATATTTAGTCCATGATTTTTAGTATCCAGGAGGTTGATGAAGTGGAGTTCATAGGCTCTTCTCTGGGAAGTGTTGTGTAAGTTTCCTTTGAGGATCAGGACTGAGAGATTGGAGAGAGAGTGGTTTTCTTGTGAGAAATGTGCCCCCACAGGTAATTGGGTATTTCTGTCTTTGATAGATTTCTGGTGTGCGTTCATTCTGGTGCGCAGTTGTTGTTTGGTCTCCTACGTATTTTCCATCAGGGCATTTGGTGCATTGGATGAGGTATATTACATTTCTGGAGGTGCAGCTGTAAGATCCGGGAATGCTGATGGCTCTGTTGTGGGGTGTAGTAATAGTGGGGGTGGTGGAGATGTGTTGGCAGGTTTTGCATTTCTTGTCATGGCATTGTCTGGATCCTTTTGGTGTGTTCTGGGCTTGAGGAAGTTTGCTTCTGGAGCCTATGAACTCCACTTCATCAACCTCCTGGATACTAAAAATCATAGACTAAATATAGACATTGGATTTATGACACATTATAACCTGCCTGACATCTGACTCCCCAGGTATCTCTCCACTTTCATCCCCCTTCTCTCTCTCCCCTCTCCCCAGCCTGTCTCTCACCCATTGACGACTCAATCTACATTTTCACTGACTACCTGTCTTGTATGCATACCAGCCCAGCCGCTGGCTGCTTTACTTTTCATTCCATCCAGGAAGAGCACATACCAGCTGCTGAAACTTCCTTAGCTTGACGAAGGGTTTTTGAACCTGAAAGCTTGCTTAATAATTGTTTTCCAGCTATTTAAGTTGGTCTAATAAAAGATATCAGATTCACCCAAAG